CTTTTCCCAGCTCCTCCCCCGTTCCACAGCCCAATATAAGATCTGTGGTATTAGTGACAAATTTCTGTGTAACAGCCTGCTGGTCAACTTCAGAAGTTGGTATTTTTTGTTTTAAAATTAGCTGTGTTAGAAATTCTTTGAGCTGAAACTGAAACAGCAACTGTGAGGAGAACATAAACTGGCCTGTATTCAGTTTTATTATCTTGCATATGTGCTTGCTTTAAGGGGCTTACTTGTACAGCCTGTCAAGATTCAGCTAAAAGTTCTGTTACAGAAGCTTCGGAACAGAACATCTGTACAGAACCACTTTACAGTGTTTGTCTTCTGACAACGAGCTGCATTGTTTCTGAATTGTTTCCTATTAAAATAACATGCAAGAAAACATAATATTCCATGCTTACCAGGCTCTGAGAAGGCTGTTGAAAATTATGGTAGCTAACTGGGTCAATCAAACATTTCTTCCCTTTCTTTCCATGCCTTTTTATATTTTTCCTGATTATCCCCATTTTAAAGTAGAGCTGTGGAATCCCCATTTTAAAGTAAAGCTCTGAAGTCTGGTTTTTTTTATGTCATAGATTCTGGAAGAATATTTAAGTCTTTTTCTTGGAAAAGGGCTCTATAATGACTTGATCATGTTAAGTGATACTTAGTCAGTTTTCCAACAGCTACCAATATTTTGTCTGAGTTACAGAGCATATTCCAGAGCGAGATTTGTATACTAAAGAAGCTGGAGCAAGTGATGGAATGCAAAGGCCTTTTTCCCCCCCGCCCCCCCTTAGAACTGGGAGAAACAGTTGATTTTGAATTGTTTGAGGAAACATTTTATGTTAATATCTAGTGCAGTCTGGTGGGCATTAAAATAGATCTGAAATCTTATGGAGACTATAATACAGGTGTTTCAATAAATTGTTTTGCAATGAAAACAATTTTTCCTATCCCTTAGGCAAAGTTTTTATGGTATACACTTGACTTTTCATCTGCAGTGATACTACCATGAAGGTAGTTTCAGCCACCATATCTTAGTATATCTTTCCTTCTATTTTGTTACCATGTGTTTTACATGTTTTATACAATTTCTTTCATTCTTCCATTACAAGAAATAGAATTTAAATATTTAGCTTATAATTTTTGGAGCTCAGGTAATGATTTTTGGTCTTTAAGGCTACATCTTCTGAAATAACATCTTTGTGGAAAATCTTGGTGATTCAGCCTTTTGGTCATGTGGTTACACAAGTTTAGGGTTTATTATTTGTGAGCTCTTACACCAGCTTGAGTGGTCTGTAGTCTTACGACTTCAGTGTTACAGGTTCTATATTCAGTTGCTGCTGATACGTGTGATATCTAACTACATTTGCTCAGTTTCCTCTCCGTACTGACTTCCACAACTGCAGAATGCACTCCAACTATCCACAGATGGCCTTGGTTCATATTACATTGTTTTATCTTGTCTTTATGCATGCCACAAAGATTTCCCAAGTCTTAAACAACTGCTGTGTGTCAATCAACCACTTTCATTTAGCAGGTCATTTGCTGTCTACTGTACTTATCTGAGCACATTCTGGCTCACCTATTGGCAAGGTTTATTTGTTTTTTCTTCCCTCCTTTCTGTTCACATGGGTGTGATTCACTAGATTTTACATGGGTATTGAGTATTGGACTTCCAGCAGAGGATATTTCACAGTCACTCAGTGCAGCAGGCATCATCGGAGGCTATACATTTGGTAAATATGAGTGTAGTGAAATACCTTATTTGTGATTTGGTGTTTAACTAATTCTTAATTACTGATTATATAAAATGTTGAACTCTGTTTTGCAGTCATGACAGATTGGTTATATAAAAATGTGTTGTCAGAAATTTAACTCACTGTGCCTGTAAGGCTAGGGGGGAGTGGTTGAACAAGTGCTTACAGGTATATTTCTTAAATCTAGCCTAGATAAATAGCAAATTATGGCAGGAGAAAGGGTGCAGAATGACTAGGCAATCTTCATCACTAGGTTTTGTTGTATAAGAGAATCTTTCCCTGCCTAGCAGTGTGCTGTTCTTCCCTGAATACTTGATGTCCTAGGTGCAGGAAAGTCTCCCCTACCACTATGTGTGAGCCAGAGACATAGTGGGGAAGGCCTGTGGGCTCCCTGTTGAAAAAACTCATTTAATTGTATGTAATGGAGTTTTAACCCTAATGGAAACATAGCCACCAAGGCTAAAGATTTTGGATTCTGAAGTACAGTACATGACTTCACTCTGTAAGTGGAGTAACAGCCCAGGCAGAATGGCTGGCAGTATGACTGAGCGTGCATAGCTGAGGTCAAAGGATTATCTAGGCAGACATACAGAAATGCGTGTTGTTTACTTACACGGATTCCTTATTTTCATTGTAGCACTACGAAAGTTAAGGAATGAACTTTAAGACCATATGGACTGACTGACTGAACAACTTTTAATACCAGGGGCCTAAGTTAAACTGAAGGTGCATGTTTTATAAACACAGCAAGGGGCTTGGGGGTGGGTGGGTGGTTTTAATTAATAAAAGGAGAAGGCTTGAAAAAATTACGTTGTGCTGTTAGGAAAAAGATGGACAGAGATGTTAGAACACAGAAATTCTAAAAAATTAAAACCAATTAGGAGAAGAAGAGGGAGTGAAGTCACCATTCCTTTACGGGCATTACGTACTTATACAGTGGGCGAGCTCCTTACAGGTGCCACCGTAGAACTTACTAACTTGTCTGAGACTTCTGTATATGCATATTTAGAACCATTTCTGTGAGGTCTTGAATCTTAGCTGTACCTATTTTAAACTGGTCAAAAGCTAGTGAGAAATGTGTATTCTGAGTAGAGTTAACATATTCTTTTTACAGTGAATGCTGATAAGTGAGGTGTGAAGTGAGGTTCTGCATATTCTGTTCTTTGGTGTTCTTTTTCACACTACAGAACAGGGAATAAGGACCAAGCCTAGTGAATTTATAGGTGATTCCAGTTAGGGGCTTTGCAGTCATGCTAAAAGACATGATTAAAACTTAAGCAGAGCCTGATACATAGTAAAAGAGTATAAATAATAGGACACAATTAAGTATAGACTAGTGCAAAGTTATACATTTAAGCAGAAACAATGAGTGAACACTGGATGAAGAACAGAATGCTAGCTAAATAAGAGCATTAAAAAGGATCTGGACGTTATGGGTCCTAGGCTGAAAATATATCAGTTTTGTGAAAAGTATGGCCCAAGGGTCTGTGAAAAGGTTTTTTCTGCTCTAGCCATTTTCAGCCACAGTCCTGTGTCTCCTCTTGGCACTTAATTTCAAAAGAAGTCAAGGAACAATTGATGAAGAGGAACCAAAAGAAAGCAATAAAACAGGTCTTGAAAAATTAACATGTGAGGAAAAGAAAGAAAAAATTGTGGTTTTTTTAGTCCAAAGACAGACCTGCTAATTTGAGGTCTACACAGAGTCTTCAAATATGTAAAAGATTTCTGAAGCGAAGGGAAGGACCTTTTTTTTTAGTCTATGGTGGTATCATAAGAACCAGTAGGTTGAAGTTAAAGAGATGATGATTCAGGTTACACATTAAGAAAAATGTTCTAATGATGGGTAGCTAAGAAGTAGGTTGTCTGAGGAGGCTGTGTAATCCAGTTCTGGAGGTCTTCAGGAGTAGGCAAGACAAGAAAATTGCAAATAATCATTGGTCCTAGGATGTAATAATGAACGAGATGATCTATTCAGACAGCTTTCAGTCCTGTTTGTTGGTGTCTTTGTGATTCTCTCAATTCCTCCCCAAAATTATCAGAGACAAGGGTGCCAAGTTCCTCACAGCTTAGCTTATAAAGGTACCACACTTATATCTAGTTCAACACTTTATGGCTCCAAACATGTCTTTTCGTTGAAGAAATATTTTATTTCTTGATTTGTGTTCATTAGCACCATGTTTATTTTCATCATCTATTTTGCATTTGGGCCCGTAGACTTCAGAGGAGATCAAGAAACAATATATTTAATATTTTTTAAAAATCCTATTCATAAATGTTCAGTTGAAAAAGAAAGGACGTTTGGGGGTGAGCATTATAATTATATTGGTGTCATTGTACAAGTAGCTATAAATGAGTAGTCAGCTGCAGACTAGTGTAGCTGAAGGGAACTCAGTGAAGTTGGATTCTTGTGTTAGGTGAAAAGCCAACCAAAGTGTTTTATTCCCCAGCAGAAAGGCACTGCTGCAGTGGAGCTGGGAAATGAACCACTAAGGGCTCATGTTACTTTCAGTGCTCTGAGCAAACAGCTCCATTCCCACAGTTACACAATGTTTTAGTATGCAGGATGAAGCTATGGGACTCTTCTAAACTTCTAAAAATAAATAAATCTGCAGGGGGTTGGTTTGTTTTGTTGTTTTTTTTTTTTATTTTTCCAATTGTGATGTTTCTCTCTGGAGTATTAAAATTCATAGGATATTGGACATAATAGTGAGGAATAGGCCATGTTTCAGAAGGTCTTGCTCCTTAGAGCTATTTAGAAATCCCAAAGTGACTAGGTAGCTAGAGTAGTTCCTGATAAGAATTTGATTAATAAATAATTTGTTAATTGATAACAAAAAATTTTACTTTTCTTTCAGTAATTTCTAGTATAGTGTAGTACATATGGCAATTTTTATCATTTACAAATAAACACCAAGATTCCTTGACTTTGGCAAACTGTTGAGACCAGATATTTCAAATTAAATGTTTTTTGCCTTGATAAGGTGGCATTTCCCAATGAATGATAATTTGCTAGAAAATATCAAATCTATTCCTGTACCATTCTTGGTTGCTGGAAATTGAAAAGTATTCAAAATCCAGATAAAAAAAGGTACATACAAAAGGCTTAATGTGTATGAAATAAACAGTTTTGATCTGTAGACACATTTTGCATGTTTTTGTATTATAACAACCACTCCATATATTTTTTCTTGCTATAAACTATTGCTTGAAATGTTAATATTAACTGTAAAAATTCTCATAGCACGTTTTTTCCCCCAGTCACAGGCGAATCATCATTCATCTAATAATGAAACTTATCAAGAAAGACTGGCACGATTAGAAGGTGACAAAGAGTCGCTCATACTGCAGGTATGTCTTGAAGAGAACGTGATAAAAAACTGAAGTGACAGAGTATTTTCTGTTAAACAAATGTTAGCAGGTCACCAAATGTACCTGATATCAGGAATTAATTTATAATTTGTGTAATCCATCTGATTGGTTTCATGATAAAGAAGAGGGGAGTAACAGCAGTAAGAGGGAGAAGAATTACAAAGGAAAAAAAAAAAAAAACAACTTAAAAATAATGCTGTGAAGTCCCAAGACAATGCTGTGGCAGTGGTTTTCATTCTAGGTTTGCTAGGTTGTACCAGTTAATTTTTCTAGGTTCTGCATTCCACAATTTTTAATTAACTGGAAGACTGTCAGGTAGATAGAACAGATATTTTTCCTGCTTGTATATTGTACCAAAGTTGCTTTACATCATCAAAAAGCTTAAGGGAGAGGTAAAGGGAGGAAAAGAAAATTTGACAGTAAAGTGCATGCCTAAACTCTTCCACGTTTCCCGTTTCTCAGTTTACCAAGCCTTTTACAAACAGATCCCCTGATCCATGTAAGTTTTCCATCTGGAGAAAACACATGTGTACAACTTAAAATAAAAAAGCTTAATTTTTTTTCTGGATATTTTCACTATTACTAAACTGTACATACGTGCTTTTAAAACTGAAGCTGGAGATTCTTTAAATGATCTTTTCACATCCTTTCTCTTTACACTTATGCATATCATAAGCATATATAGTTATATCAAACAAAACTATACTGGGTAGGTGTTCTCCCTACTTTCAGTTACTAGTTTCTGTAAGCATGTTTTATCCTGCATGTTCTGTTCACACTTGCATTAATTTACTGAGCAGAATTCTCACTGCTGTTGTTAAATAAACAATAAATGTTTTGTGAGATGTAAGCTTAGGCTCGGCTGTTTTTTTTCATTATTGTTAAACTAAAATTGCTATTACCAAATTTAGGAAAAAAAAAAAAATCCTGAATGAAAAACAAATGTCTGGTTGGAATTCTGACAGGGAATCAGGTCAAGGGAGACAACATCACAATTGATACACTTATTAGAACACCTTTAATTAATCAAATGGTTATTAAGTGTAACATCTTGATTCTATTAATAATGGCAAACAACTTTTCACACAGTATATTCACTTCTCACACAGTTCACTCACACACAAAAGCAGCTCATAATTGCAGCAACAAGTAGGGGGCCAAACCCAGATGTTTACTCAGCAGCAGAGGGCTGTACTGATGCACCTTTGTCCCTGAAGGCCTCCTTTGTTTCATCACATGTGTATAGTCCTGTAATCTTTGTCTGGATGTAGCAGCCACTGTTGTCTTGGATGTGGTTCATGCTATACAGACGGTTGTTGATGTTCATGCAGGCTAATGGGCTTGTACAGATTTGGCAGAATGTTGGTGTTCAAAGTGTATCAGCTTTTGTGGACGTTCCTGAAGACTGTTCTAGGCTACTGGTCAGTATGTACTTTTCCTGTCTTTGTCCTGATGATTTTTAGTAACTATTTCTTCATCCACATAAGTAGGTACCCATGGAATGCAGACAGCCAAACTCACAGAGAAGGGTTTTTATGACATAGTTTGGAGACCTGTCTAGTTTTTCTTAAAAGTAGTGTAGTAAAATCAGATGTAGAAATTGTCTCTCCCTTTCCTTTTACCCCCATCACACTCCCATCAAATCAAGAGGCTTAGTCAATATTTATGCATTTTCCTATCCCACTGTATGGTATTGCAGTAGAACTCTTAAAAACCACAGGCAAATAAGATAGATGAAAACCTCACTCTAGTAGGTGAACATCATCATCAACAACAACAACAAAAAAGGTGCCGAGATGGAGCTGGGGTTACAACCTGGTTCACACCAGTTCTGCATATTCTGTTTAGGCAGTTGAATATGAGGAACACAGGCAAGTCCCATGCTGAGTTTACACTGGCCTGAGGGAGTCTGCTGGTACAAACCTGGCTCCTGGGTGTGACCACTGGCATGAAGGATGACAAAGGGATGGGAAATGGAGCACCTCTATTCTATAGCTCATGTTGCATTCTGCCGGTGGCTGCGGTCCGTAGCTGTAATCTGTAGGGAATGTGAGGCTGGGAGCACTCCAGTCCTGCATGAGATTTGCTGCAGGAGAAGCAGTACAAGGCACAGGTAGTGCCGGCTATCTCTGTCCCCCAAGACTGTGTCAAACAGTGCACCCTGAAACCGGCTTCCACTGCTCAGTCTGTAGTGGAGGCTGGAAATGCTGCAGCATCTGGGATACTTTCTTATAGCTCAGTGCCTGCATATAGGATCTAATTCCCATCTTTAGGTGTTTGTTTTGGTTGTTTCTTTCCCATAAAGACATTTCAAATCATTATACCACTTCATTTTTATCTAGTTGTTCAATATGCCTCATTTTTAGAAATATTTATAGAAAATATACGGGCTGACTGTTGTGGATGTTGCACTGCTAAGGCAAGATGGGCTTGCCAGCGTAGCATATGCTGGAGTTACGTTCTGTGTGCAGCCTACTGATTCCTTGAAGAGTCTGGCAGATGTGATCCAGAACAGACGGGAAAATATGAGCTCAAAGTGGCTCATGTGCCTCTCAGCCAAACTACTGGAACATCCAACACATGCTTCTAGCGCTGCTAAGATTTTACTAAATTCCTTTGCAGGTCACATTTAACGTACAGAGTTTTCCTTACAGGTTACAATGCTAACCCAACCCTTTAAGTAGAGCTTGTTTTCTTTCTCTGAAACCTGCACCAGACTGAAGGAGAGGATTCAGTTTGTTTATTCTTGCTTTCTGACCTCACAGGGGGATTTTTGTCTACCATCACTCATCTGATGGGAGAAAAAAATTACATAAGCAACAGAGTTCCTTGTAGGGAGTTCTCCCCCTGCCCCAGCTTGGATTTGTCCCACTGCCATCTGCCTCCACCCACTCCTTCCTATCATCTCTCATCCTGCATTCAGAGCCAACTACTCTAAAGGCATAAAAAAACTCCTCTTTTTTTTTTCTTTTTTTGATGTTCCATTCACAGGTGTGCTCATCATTGTTTGCAGGTAAAACAAGTACAGATCACCCAGTCACTCCCTCTGCAGCTTCCCTGCAGTGAACTCAGTTGTTCATTGATTGGGTTTTAGAAATGCTGCATAGTGGATACATCTTTGTTTCACATCCACGTACTGTACTTCCTCCCCCATCTCCCTTTAAATAAAGGTCTTGCAGGGTTGGATGTGAGAACATAAATAAGTTTTTGTTAATGCATTTCATTCAAACAGGAGTTTAAACACCTAAGGTTGCTTTTTTGTTTGAGATAATATTTTCCTTGTATAATCAAGGCCTTTATATAAATAAATTGTAAAAATTAATGTACAGAGTGTATGTGCTGCTTAACACAGAAATTAACACTTGTGGGTTTTTTCATATATTTTAGTATTATCCTGAGCATAGTTTTTTCAGCTTTGCAAGCTTTGACTTGGGCTGCTGGGCTTTTCTTATTACACACTCACTGGTCTGTACCGCCATTCCCACAGTTCTTTACCAGTATTGCTTATTGTTTCTTTTCCTGGGATTCATTGTCTGTATCTCACTTCTTTTGCTTTCATGTTTTGGCTTGCAAAGCCTGGGAATTTTTCTTGGAATAGATCTTTGCCACTGCTAAAACATGCCCTTTGCTCATTGCATTCTTTATAACTTCAGAACGCTTTATTGATAGGTAAGCTCTTTTTCTGTTCTTGTAAGAAGTAAAGTAATTGGTTGGTTTCCGAATGAACAGTTTTATTGTTTTTGCGTTTTAGGGAGTGAAACGCCAACAGAACCTGAAATGGAAATTCATGCTCCAAAACCAGTTAAAATATTTTTAGTATTGTATGTTCTTGTTTGATGCTTTCTAATTTTCCAGTCTTTTTCATGAACTGACTTGGTACCTATAGGTAGTCTTCCATCTCTTCTAGAAATGCTCTTTCTTTTTTATATTAAAATTTTTAAAAAAATTGAAGGCGGGGGCAGAGGGCGGAGTTGAAGCAAAATATAGGTAAGAGTGAAAAATTTGCTTTCTTGATAGAGCAGGTCGTTGCAGTGCACGAGAAAGTTAAACCATTGAGGACTTTAAAAGAGAACTTGCTGTTAAAATGTGCATTTGAATGTTAATTGTATAAGGTAACTGAAACTTATTTACAGTCAGTTCAGCAGCATTGTGCTTCTTTTCTCAAATTACAGGTGAGTGTTCTTACAGACCAGGTGGAAGCTCAAGGAGAAAAAATCCGGGACTTAGAAATCTGTCTTGAGGGCCATCAGTTGAAACTGAATGCTACGGAAGAAATGCTTCAACAGGTAAAAATCTGGATTGGAAAGCTTCTTGCATAATCTTCTCCAACAGGGGAGTGAACATATATGGTCAGCTTGTTTGCATGTGTGAATGCCTTTAGCAACAAGATAAAATGAGGAAAAAAAATGCCTCTTTTATTGTTCTCTTGCTGCTTTGCACTTTTTTTTTCTTTTTTTTTTTTTGATAAATGTTTCTTTGTTTTCCTGTTGCAGAAACATTTTACAGGCTGGTTGCATAATACTGTACAGCAGCATGTAAAATGGAACTATTGTGTCTTATTTGTACAGTGCCAATGTACTAAATTTGGACATGGTTGACTAACTGGTTAGACAGGTTAAATGTATCTAATATATGTAGCAGCTACAGAATTAAGAAGTTTTATTTAAATATCTTCTGGTTTTGTATGGCTTTGAAGCTAAACAGGTAGTAAGTTGAAATGAATTGCTGTACCGAGTTTGCTTCTGTAACCATTTTGCTTTATTTGGGAGCTTTCCCCTTAGTTTTGAAAGAAAATTAGTATATGAAGATAGTTTTCTTTATTTCAATCAACAGTTTCAGGCTATGTGATTTAATTTTGTTTCTTTCATGTTATATATTGAGGGAGCAGAATAAATAATAAATGTAATACCTTACATTTCATGTGTTACTGCAGAGCTGGCAGGTCTGTCAATGCAAAAGAACTTTCCAGGTGCAATTTTCTGTTATTACAGATGCAGATCATCCACTGGTAATACAGTACTTAGATATCCAAAATAGATTTGGAACTGTAAATAACCCTCAAAATCTATGCCAGAAATTTGCAGGATAGATACTGTTCTTGATGAACTTACTTCCTCTCCCTGCTCAAAATATTGTCTTACAAGTTTACTATTTTAGTCTGTGAAATATACGAGTCTTTCTATAAACTACTGATAGCTTTAAATTACTGCTGTATTAATCTATATAAACTTATTTTACTATGATAAAGATCCATGTACATATGTATCTATACAGTAGCAGTTTCTATAAGGTAAACTTTTATCCTAAACCTTTTAAAGTTACAGCTTGCCAAGCTTCTCTAAAACAAAAACTCGATCTCGAAACATTAGCAGCCCAAAATGCTTCTAGCTGGGAAAGGTTTTATTCTCATACTTAAATGATTTTTAAAATGCAAATAGTGAGTGCATTTTTTTTTTTTCAGTGAGATCTGAAGTGAAATTTAAAGAACAGTAAATATTTAAGTTATGAAGACCTGTTTTCAAACTTCAGGAAGGCATTCACAATGAAGTGTAGAAGTTTCCTGTTTCAATCTAAAACTAGATAGTTGTTCTGTGACTTCTGCTAAAACTGTTCATTGTTTCTCTGACTTGAAATTTTCTATTCTGATAGTTCTGAGGAAACTGTGAATTTAAAGCCTGATTTAACAGAACACTGAGGCATCTGAAAATAGCATGTAATAATGCATATACATTGCTATTTCTGTGAAAACATTTGAATCTACCCATCTGGCCTTAGGCACATGCACAAATTGCTTACAAAGCTGATCCTAAAGTGATAAGCTACAAAAGTCTGTACTAAAGCTAAGAAAGTCAGAGAATCTCCAAATATGTTTAACATAAATCTAATTTTTGAGATCACTTTGAGTGGCTGTAATTGTTGCCAAATGGGAGTAATTTCAAATTTATTTTCTTTCCTGTACATGTATTAAATAGTTAGCAATAAGTTCAAATTTACTGACTGTTTTGTATCATAGTTTTGAGATCTTGCATTTGAATATAACTTACAGAAATACTGACAAGCTTGCTTGTTGATTGCTACATTTCTAAGTGACTGATCTCTCATGCTTACAGCAGATACAGTAGTTCAAGTTTGGGTTTTTTTAAGAGAAAGAATTATCTAGGTCACAACCTGGTAAAGATCTGTGTTTCATTTTAATCCTATGAGTTTGTCCATTTGAACTTTGCACAGAGACAGACACGTACAAACACATACACAGTTTTAGTGTGAGTGATGTACTTTCAATAGCTGAACCAAAAATAAAAAATAAATTCAATGTGGCACTGAGATATTTAAAATTAATTTTCTCACTGAAATGAGAAAAATGATACTGAATTACCATTTTAGTTTTGTGAACAGTAAGAAGAGCAAATTAAGTGAAATTCTAGAGAATGATGAGGGAATGATAGGAGTGATATCTTTCTCGCATGGATTACATCCCCCAGTAGACAGTTAGATATGGGAAACCCAAGTTAGATATCTCAAAATCTCAACAGTCAGAGAAATTACACATTTATTATAGCTCAGCAGAATGCCCTATTTATCTATAATTTATTTTGAAGGTTCTTTTCTCAGTTCATCTTGTTGAAAAGATTACCCTCCACAAGGAATAAGCTGAGATTTGGAGAGAAGGGAATGACTTGATAATGTGATGATTAGGACATTCATGTAAGATATGTGGCCAGCAGGCCTCTTGCAGTTAATTTGTCAGAAGTAGAGTGAGTACCAGTATCTGGCCTCAAGGACTTCAACAGACCAATGGATCAGTCAGGTTTGGGGAGAGTTGGGTTCAGATCTTCTCAGCCAGCAGTTGCCAGTATCCTGTACAACTGCTCATGATACGTAGCAAAGAGATGAAAGATACTAGTGTTGTCACTAAGTTTTTGCAGTCAGAACTATTTAATGGGCCTTTCAAGACAGTATTTATTTATTTTCACAGTAAACTAACTTCCTTCTAGGGAGAAAAAATCATCTAGCTCTATGGATCTATATAAATATTCCTGCTTTTCAGAAAGACTTCTATTATCTTCCTGAGGTATATGCAAATACAATTTTATTTCATGGCTCTGCTTACTTATTTAGAATATATTGAACTCCCCTGATTTTTACCTTTGTGAACTTAAGCTGACTGCTTCTTCTAAATGGAAAATGGAATGATAAAGGTAACTGCCTTAGCTTGAAAAATCTTTAATGTGTTTTAGTTAGAACTAAGCTAAATATTATTTACGTATCTGGGAAACCATATACCTGAGTCCAGGAAAAGCCATGTCTTTTTAATTTGGGGAACTATAAGAAAAACAACTCTTAATTCTGTGCCCAAAATGCTACAATAAGAACAAAAATCATGAACTTTGTTAAGATAACTTAATTACAAGATCTGGTAGTTCCATGACAGCAAGGGCATGTAATGCTGCCCTGCAAAATAGTTTTTGCTGAATCTATGCTAGCAGAGACTTGTCCACTTTCTTAGGGTGGGGTTACTGGCTTAAAATCCTTCTGGTTTATGATTATGCACAGTTGTTTTGAACCCTGCTACAAAGTGATCATGGAAACACTTCTGAAACAACAGCTAAAATAAACTTTATATGAATTACATAAAATGGCTGCTCGGCATTGAGGGTAGACATCTCAAATGTGGAATAGTAGCAACAGACACTGCTGCTTTTTTGCAGAAAATGGTGATTCTCCTTCACTCAAAAAGGATGGTGAAATATCCTTTAGTCAAAATGTGAACTTTGAAACTTTCAAAAAATGAGTTGAGCCAATCTAATGGTTACTGCTACAAAAAGGAGGCCTCATTCTTCTTTCATCCTTCTACCTGTTCCTGACCATGTGCTTCAGCAACTTATTTTATACTGACTCTCACGCTCATCAGACTTTTTCTTCAGTGACTGGGAGAAAACTAACTTGGGGTTTAAAAAGAAGGGGATGTTTTTCTGCTGGGTTAGTGAGTTGAAACAGCTCACAGAAAAGGTCAAGGTGTGGCATAAGGGCAATGGTGAGATGTGCATGTGACCTAGCTGTTTATGAAACCATAGCCAAAGAAAATATGGCTCAGCAGCATTGAGAGACGAGAGTCTTGTGTAACAGATGCAGAGATGCCCTGGTGTGCACAGTTAGAGATAATGCATGTATGTTTTCATGAGATGTGATGCTTACAGCGTCAAACTCAGCATTTTGCTTTTGTGAGGATACTTGTTCCACTACAGATTCTAATCAAGAAAAAGCATTTTTCACCTTGCAAGTGTTTGCATTTTCTTTCTTTAAAACAAAGTAGGTCTTTTGAAAACTTATTAAAGTCAATGGCAAAACTTTAAATCAGTCCTTAAGTATGGTTCCATTTTGGGCCCAGAAACACTTTTCCCTGATCATCCCTCATAGTAAATGTTAAGAGAAAATTTTCTGGAGCATAACTGCGAGCAACATGCCAGTTTGGTCTCACTGAATTGCCTTCCAGTCATACCTCTGTCTTGCCATCGAATGTGTAAAGAGTATGGAAATACTGGCCTGTCTGAATAGTTACCTGTCTTGCCCCTTAGTACATTGTAAAGGATGTCTTGAAATTAAAAAAAACCAAACAAACAAAAAAAACCAAACAAAAACCCCCAAACTCCCAGAATTATCCTATGAAAACAATTTATGCTGTGCCAGTCCAGTATATCAGCTGCTTTAAAATGTAAAATTACAGTCAATTTTGGAGAACAGTGATGTGTATGTGTCTTGTTCTAAGTTAGTTGGTGGCCTTTTAAAATGCTTTCTTCTTAAATTTTAAGAAAGAAATAGTTTTATAAGAGAAGAGAAGGTCTTGAACATCTTTGTTAGCCTTAGGGAAACCTCCTATCACCTTACTATCAACTTTTCTTTCATTTGCACTGTGTACAAATGTAGAACAGAATTGGAAAGCAAAAGTGATTTTTGCTCTATAAAGTAGCCTAAATTGTCTCAGGAGAAGAAAGAACCAGCCATGCATAATGTAAACACATTGGTGCTATGGAATCTATGCTGTCAATCTCGACAGCTGTGTTAAGTCAGTTTGAAAAGTGAATTTTCTACATATACCTCCACAGTTCTTTTAAGTGCTTTTCTTATGGTAATTATCATGAGTAAGAATAGTTAGTTACATCTTTGCTATTCCAGTGCTGCATTTGATTTATTTAGCAGATACCAGTTCCCATTGAAGCTCTATGGCATAAAATATAACAGTGTGCAGTTAGCTTTGCCAATCAAAATGCTGGTCTGTATGGCAGTGTCTTTCCTGTTCCTGACCCGTACCAAATTCTGTATGGGGTTTGACCATACGTTTCTGCCTTCCATCTTATTTCTGACATGTAATTGCAAGAAGCAATCCAGGGGACTCTTGTCAGATGGTTGCATTATGTAAACACAGTTGTGTCTTCTATCAATTAAATTCTCTTGCAAAGTACAAAGCACTTGGCCTTATGATTCTTTCTGTCTTAAAAATCCACGTAGCAACTGAAATGCTTGAATGCAAATTGGAGTGAATTTCTGTTTTTCATGTCGGCTTATGGCACGCTTCTGCCTGGGTGCAAGGAGCAGGGGAAGGTGTTCCAGACAGTGCCCTTCACGAGGCACAATGGAGAATCTTTTAAAGGTGGTTTAAAAGAATGCGGGGAGGAGCTGTATGAGGGTAGGAACTTGAATCCAATGCAGTTTAGTGTGTACCTGTTCTGGTTTTGCAGTTGTCTTATGCTCAGGGGAGCCAGAATCCTATCTTGGTTGCAGAGTATGAATCTGGTATGTATCTGTTTGCTTCTCAGGAACTTTGCTGGCTGGCAAGGATCATTCTTTCAACTTTCAGTTGCCTGAGTTATCTGATCTTAGATGAATTTCAGCACTTGTTTATAGCATGTAACTTCTTGCCAGCAGCTAGCTTAGTGTTTCAGATTTTGAAGAGTGCTCTGTCCTGCTCTGGTTGTCAGGCATAAGGTTTTCAGAGTGTGCTCTCAAGTTGTGCAGCTTATCTATACAGGTGAGCATTACATTGCTTTGTTACTTTACAGTTAAAATAGGCATGAATCTGCTCAGCAGGCATATGTAAAGGGCTGTTCAAATTGGCAGTGCAGTGGGAAGTTCTGTCCTTTCTGTTGCTTAACTATGTAATGGGCAAATGATGAATCGAAGGGCTGTAATTCACTCTGCTACTGACTTGCACCATTTCATGGTGATTACACATGTACATTGCTCTCAGCTGTGTTTTCAGTTAAGCAAATATCTTATTTCTACCACAGCTGACACACAGCACTTGAAAAGTGCAGTCCTCATTAGTGGTGGTTCTTGCTGAATTTGGCTTACCAGGTAGGTAGCTTGGTTGCTCTGTCTGTCTCTCTCAACTACTTTAATAAGGGTGAAAAGTATTGAATTTCTTGAGTGTTATATTTTGAAGAGTGCACAAGTGCAAAATGGGATCTTTGGGGTTTTTTTCCCCCCACTTAACTAAAATCTTACTTATGGTTTCTCAGTCACTGTATGGCATGATTGTTTCTTCTGTGTTGTGGAGTGCTAAATATCCTGGAATTTTCTGTGCTTGCAGCTGACAGCCTAGAACAGTGTAGTGTCCTCTTCCTAAGCTATTTTCTGTCATGTTAAACTTTATAAGCAGCTTTATAAGAATTATGTATTTCCAAGACAACAAAATGTGAATGTGAGATATGCAGCATGTGCTTCAGTTTCATTGAGAATATGGAAAAACGTAATTAAATATTTTTAAAGTATACAGTATGAATTTTAAAACTACAGTTGTGTTTGGAAATAGTTTGCTGTTCATTGATCTGTCTGGTACATGCATATTGTAGCTTCTGCATTTCTTATCTTTGTAGTTATTCTACTATAAAATAGCTTTTTCCTTAATTTTTAAGTTAAAAGTTAAATTTCAAAAAAAGCACTTTGAGAAATTAAATTATAGTACATTTAAAAATTAAAACCAATTATCTTGTTTATAAATAAGATTTGCTAGAATATGTTCTATTTCTGTTATATAATTCATCTCTTAAGATCCTCCTAAAGCTGCTACAGTCCAAATTACCATTTTGCCTGTCTTATATTGTCTTTTTTGCTTTAAAACCAACAACATAAATTTGTATTTTCTTTTCTTTCAATTGCATATTTATTCTGGCTGAATTCAAGTTGCATTACACCACTGAAATACACTATAATTTTTCTGTAACAAAATGGGTCACATTCTTAATGAGCTGTTCACTGTGAGCATCTGCTTGAAGATGAAAATAATTGCTTCCAGATGTTACTATTTCAAGAGGGGACATTTACTTTAAACGGCACTTTCTTTCAAAGCAAAAATTAGACTGTCTAGATGCAGAAGAAATTGTCAGCTGTTTTAAATCAGTGTAGCTCCATTGAAAACAAACTAGGGACAGTTAGCTATTTTGTCTATTTTAAGGCAAGAGTCTCATGCTAGTTTACACTAGCTGAGGATCTGATTCTCCAGCTTCAGAGAAAACTGTAAAATTTTGTTTAAGTTGATTTAAAAAAAAATAAAAATCACTGCCTTCATGCTCACTTATACCGGGTAGCACCTTAGTGCTGAACTTAGAATGAGTGGAGCGAGGTTATTACTCCCCATTGCATAACTAAGTTCAGTTTGGGAGCCTCTATAGAAGTAAGGAGTAATGCCAGATGCAGCACTGAAAGGACAGATCTTTTGTTAAAAATCTCTAGAGGGATGCCATGTCTCCTTGCCTTATTAAGAAATATTCCTGTTGTATCGTGGAACGCCATGTCAGTATAAAAAAAAATTCTAAATGTTATTTCAGTTCAGCAGTGAATAAAGTCTGTCCATGGGGCCAAAGTCATCTCATCCTGCTAGCCTTTTTGATGTTCAGTGGCCTTATTTCATATCAAAGTTCTCATTTATAGCTATGTCTTAGTCTGCAGAAGTCTGCTATTTAACAGCTGTATGGAGCCTGTTCCAGTCTGGACTGGAATGTGCCTCTGGAACTTGTGCAAATTAGTGTTTTTTTTCTGGAAGATAGAGGAGTTATTTGTAATTATAATTGTAATTTGTAATCACCATTGTAGAAAGCAGCTACTACTGGGATTTCATTAGGTGACTGCCTCTTAGAGTTTCTCAATAAAAAAAGTCAGTGCACTATCTTTTCCTGATCAGTGCCTGATTTATTTCATTCAGAGAAAAGAAACAAACCATGAGGCTACATTTCTGTTTATTTTCCCATCCATACACAAATATCATTGTCAGTGTCAGCAG